CCCCCCCCCCCCCACTAAACCTGACGTAATTTGCGAACGACCCCTTAAATATATAATATGGCCAACACTTCAGATTTTTACTCGAATTGCTATATCTATATCTATATATATAAATCTATCCATCTATCCATCTATCTATCTATCGATATATCGATATATCTATAGGCTATCTATCTATATCTATCTACATAAGAAGGCCTACATGAGCTTAATTTAGTCTACAGTATTTTCTTATTGCACTGGTAGAAAAAAGAAAAAAAATATATAGGCCTATGGACGTGGACATTATAAATTATGTCAATATGGCTGTGAGTACGATTTGACACTATCAGTAATGTTTACGCCCTATGGACAATTTCCATTCTGAATTTTTTTTTAAACTGGAGTCTTACTTCTCGTTTGATTTTATTAATTTGAACAAAATTCCTGTAACAAATTTAGCATGATGAAAGCATAGACGTCAACTTATATTTCTTTTGGTTTTATATATGATTAGTAGTAGTAGATGTTTAGTTATTAATTACCTGTGTGTAGATGCGATTCTTCAGCTCCAGTAAAGCTGTAGTAAAGCAAACACAGGGAGACAAAGTAGATTCCCATCTTTTTTTTGATTGCTCTGAATTGACGATAGTCGTAGGCCGACTCAAGTAAACTTTACCCTATAAAGAAATAAGGAAAGCGATTCACACCGGGAACAACATTTCACTTTTACTCAACTCATGAACAATGTATAAAATCCTGTACAATGTACAGTGGCGTAGCGAGGGGGGTGCTGTGGGTGCGGACCGCACCGGGTGACACCATTTTAGGGGTGACACCCAATTGAAAAATTGCATATTTACTGAGCACACACAACCGAAATTCGTAAAAGAATAACCCATCATACATATATTTTTCACAAATGTAACCAATCCAAATTCCTGCATTATTGAAAGTTCAAGGTCGATGCGTCAGAAATGAGACGACCCTATGTTTAGGTTAGAAAAACACAGTCATTATTCCACGCTGATTGAAGTGTTCGGTAACTTCCTAAGTGACAGGAGTCTATATTTAGCTTAACTCTGAGAAATAGGGCTTTCGATCGATACCAAATACGCCATGGTCGGGCGATTTTAAGTTTAAGAATCTGTGAAAAATAAAAACATTAAAAATGAATTTTACTCATTTATAGGGTTAAAAAATATATTATTCTACACAATTTTTAATATTTTAATGAGTCATTCTTATTTACTTAAATTTAAATAAAGAAAAGATTTTAGAAGTCATATATTATATATCGAAACCAAGAAATACTCAAAATTTAATATTTACCCCGATTCATCATTAGTATAGCTCCTTAGCATTTGAACATGATTGTCATATATCGACTGCTGGGTTTTACCTGCTATCTCTCTGTGTTGTATTTTGGACAGTCCTATGACCAGTGGCATAGCTAAAGATTTGGGGGAATTTGGGGGCTCGGGGAGCTTGGCCTCTTTAGGAGCCCCTGCATTTTGACATTGGACATTATGTAATGTAAAAAAAAATTTCGAACACGACTTTGGGGGCCCGCCTCCAGTAGGGGCCCAGGGGGACTTTCGAATTTGGACCCCCCTCCCCTAGCTACGCCATGACCTCTGAGTGTTGTTTTTGAACTGTCGTTTGTTGTTTGTTGTCTTGAACATGACAATATTAAAGCATTT